ATCGAGGGGCCCACGAGGCAGGGGGCGCGCCCCCACCCTCATGACCTCCTCTTTGACTCCTTGGAGTAGGGTCCAAGTCTCCTAGATCACGTTCGGTGAGAAAATCACGTTCCCGAAGATTTTATTTCGTTTGGACTCCGTTTGATATTCTGTTTCTCCGAAACACCGAAATAGGCAAAAAAACAGCAATTCTGGGCTGGGCCTCCGGTTAATAGGTTAGTCCCAAAAATAATATAAAAGTGGAAAATAAAGCCCAATATAGTCCAAAACAGTAGATAATATAGCATGGAGCAATCAAAAATTATAGATATGTTGGAGACGTATCAGGCATCCTCAAGCTTAATTCCTGCTCATCCTCGAGTAGGTAAATGATAAAAAGAGAATTTTTGATGCGGAGTGCTACTTGGCATAATTTCAATGCAAATCTTCTTAATTGTGATATGAATATTCAGATTGGAAAGATTCAAAACAAAAGTTCATATTGACATAAAAATAATAATACTTCAAGCATACTAACAAAGCAATTATGTCTTCTCAAAATGACATGGCCAAAGAAAGTTATCCCTACAAAATCATATAGTCTGGCTATGCTCTATCTTCACCACACAAAATATTTAAATCATGCACAACCCCGATGACAAGCCAAGCAATTGTTTCATACTCTAACTTTTTCAAAACTTTTTCAATCTTCACTCAATACATGAGCGTGAGCCATGGATATAGCACTATAGGTGGAATAGAATGGTGGTTGTGGAGAAGACAAAAAGGAGAAGATAGTCTCACATCAACTAGGCGTATCAACGGGCTATGGAGGTGCCCATCAATAGATATCGATGTGAGTGAGTTGGGATTGCCATGCAACGGATGCACTAGAGCTATAAGTATATGAAAGCTCAAAAAGAAACTAAGTGGGTGTGCATCCAACTTGCTTTCTCATGAAGACCTAGGGCAATTTGAGGAAGCCCATCATTGGAATATACAAGCCAAGTTCTATAATGAAAAAATTTCTACTAGTATATGAAAGTGATAACATGAGAGGCTCTCTACTATGAAGATCATGGTGCTACTTTGAAGCACAAGTGTGGTAAAATGATAGTAACATTGTCCCTTCTCTCTTTTTCTCTTATTTTATTTATTTATTTGGGCCTTTTCTCTCTTTTTCTTTTTTATGGCCTCTTTTTATTTGGGCTTCTTTGGCCTCTTTTTTTATTTATTTTTCATCCGGAGTCTCATTCTGACTTATGGGGGAATCATAGTCTCCATCATTCTTTCCTCACTGGGACAATGCTCTAATAATGATGATCATCAAACTTTTATTTTTCTTACAACTCAATACTTAGAACAAAATATGACTCTATACGAATGCCTCCGGTGGTGTACCGAGATATGCAATATGACAATGATGGAGTTTGTCATGATAAGCGGAACGGTGGAAAGTTGCATGGCAATATATCTCAGAATGGCTATGGAAATGCCATAATAGGTAGGTATGGTGGTTGTTTTGAGGAAGGTATATGGTAGGTGTATGATACCGGCGAAAGGTGCGCGGTATTAGATAGGCTAGCAAAGGTGGAAGGGTGAGAGTGCGTATGATCCATGGACTCAACATTAGTCATAAAGAACTCATATACTTATTGCAAAAATCTAGAAGTTATCAAAGCAAAGTATTACGCGCATGCTCCTAGGGGGATAGATTGGTAGGAAAAGACCATCGCTCGTCCTCGACCGCCACTCATAAGGAAGACAATCAATAAATAAATCATGCTCCGATTTCATCACATAACGGTTCACCATACATGCATGCTACGGGAATCACAAACTTTAACACAAGTATTCTTTAAATTCACAACTACTCAACTAGCATCACTTTAATATTATCACCTCCATATCTCAAAACAATTATCATGCTTCAATCTTTTCTTAGTATTCAACACACTCAAAAGAAAGTTTCACAAATCTTTAATACCAAGCATATTATTATAAAGCAAATTACCATGCTATTAAGAGACTCTCAAAATAATTTAAGTGAAGCATGAGAGGTCAATAGTTTCTTTAAAACAAATCCACCACCGTGCCCTAAAAGATCACTACAAGAAATATGTTGAATTATGACCTTCTATAGTGACCCCGGGTCAAATAGTCATAAATCTATGACCATTTCGAACCAATTTGTCGTAAGCTATGTGGGAGGGTCCAAACCCTAAAGCATAATGACCATTTTGATCAAAAAGGTCGCAATTTTCTTACACGAAAAGGTCATAAGCAGACAACACTAGTTTACTTCTCTATTTCTACTAGATTACGACAAATCTAGATGGTTATATCTGCTAATTTGTAATGCCTGAATCCATGTGTCATCCACCTCACCAATTTTGCCTACGTGTCATGTCCATGTGTCGTCCACCTCAGCAGTTTCATCTACGTGTCATGTCCATGTGTCAATTTCCGTTACATTTCCCTATGAGAGGTGGACCCCACCAGCAACCTGACATGCGGGGCCGACCAGATACATAGCTAGGGGATGAATATTGCGAAACTCTTTGGTGGATCTATGATGAAATAGCTGCATGGGTACCTAATAATATTTTTGGAAATATAATTAGGAAACTATCAAGCAACTGTAGTTCAAATTTGACTCACTTTCTACTAAATTGGCCGAAATTTGTTAATCAAATGAGAGGTGGATGAAAAGGTATACAGAAAATATACAATGTGTGTGAACAAAGTCAATCTTGTATTTAGAAAATGTTAAAGCAAGCATTTGAAAAAAATGTTAAACAAGTATTTAAAAGATATTAAACATGTATTAAAATGTTCTTGACATATATGAAAAATGTAGAATGAAAACCAACAGAAAGAAAGAAAAATGTTCTCGACGTATACGGAAAATATAGGATGAAAACTAGGTCACATATAATGACACAATGCAAATATTTTACATATTTATGATTTTTATTTTCTTATGCCAAATTTTCAACAAATATATGCTAGGTCCTTCACAAAAAACTCATTTTGTGCACTCAGAAAATGGAAAATGATTTTTTTGTCCAAAGAAAATGAAAACTTCATTAGGAAAAATTGTTTGCCATTACAGTGTGCACCCTTGTGCATAATATGAGATCATTTGAATAAACTATGCCATGAATGTGGCCATAAGATTGATCATTTGGCTTGAAAGCCATGGATCTCCACACATGATAGCTCGTTTCTGAGAACATTTTTTTAATAATTATCGGATTACAAGTTTATTATTTTTTCTGGTAACTTGGCCACATATAATGACACAATGCGAAGGTTTCCCATTTTTTTGATTTTTTTTGAATTTTTTATGTCCGTTTCAAAATGCGGTCAAAATGGCGGGCTTGACCGTTCGTAGCTAGTGGTTGAATCTTGGAATTTTTTTGGTGTTTCTCTGATTAAATATATAATTTTGTACCTAAAAATGATTTTTGGAAAAAATAAAGAGCAAAATATGAGGCAGCTGCAGTTCAAATTTGACCCACTTCCAATTGGATCGGCAGAAATTTGTCTTTAGAGGTGGATAAAAACTTTTGACACCCAACCATTTGGTCAATTGTGCATTAAATATGGCCTAGTATTTTATAAAATTTATTTGGTCTAATTGTGCAACAAATATATGATAGGTCCTTCACAAAAAAACTCATTTTGGGCACTCGAAAAAAATAGAAAATGAATTTGTCCAAAGAAAATGAAAACTTCCTTAGGCAACATTGTTTGCCATTCCAATATGCACCCTTGTGCATGATATGAGATCATTTGAACAAACTATGCCATGAATGCGGCCATAAGATTGATCATTTGACATGAAAGTCATCGGTCTCCACACATGATAGCTTGTTTCTGAGAACAATTTTTTAAAATAATTATCTTATTACAAGTTTATTATTTTTACTTGTAACTTGGCCACATATAATGACACAATGCTAAGGTTTTCCAATTATTCGATTTTTTTGAATTTTTCATCCACGTTTCAAAATGTGGTCAAAACTGCGGGCATGACCGTTCGTAGCTAGGGCTTGATTTTTGCAAATATTTTGGAGTATGTATGAAGAAATAGATACTTTTGTACCTAGAAATGATTTTTGAAAAAAATAAAGAGCAAACTATGAGGCAGCTGTAGTTCAAATTTGACCCGCTTCCAGCTGAATCAGCATAATTTTTTCTTTTTCATGAGAGGTGGATAAAAGCTTTTGACACCCAACCATTTGGTCAATTGTATATTAAATATGGACTGGTATTTTAGAAAATTGATGAAGTCCAATTTTGCAACAAATATTTGGTAGGTTCTTCACAAAAAAAAACCAATTTTGCCACTTAAAAAATGATTAAAAATAGCTAGAAAGATCAGAAAAGCATACAAATTGGTCATTATCCATAAAATGTGGACTAACTCTGGTGAAAATTTTTACGGTGCCCTTTTGCAAAATATTTTTGATAGCGACTTCAAAAAATTCCTCTATTTTTAGTACTTGAAAACTGTTTAAATCATTGGTTTTCCGAACCAATCAAAACTCTTCCCACGGATCGATGACATGGCGCCCATCCATCCATCCATCTCTCCATCCCACATCCATCCATCCATCTATCTATAGAAAAAAAATAAAAAAAATAAAAAGGAGATACCGCACCCGCAGCCCAAACCCTAGCTCAGACCCCCCATCCCTTTGCCGCCGCCGCCCCCTCCCGATTCAGTCCTCCGTCTCATCCCCCTCCTCTCCCCTCAACCGGCGGTCAGATACGCCCTACCCACTCACCCAACTCTCAGTCGCCGCCATCTAGGCCGGCAGCCATCTCCGGCGCGCAGGAGATCGATCGATCGGCGCATGCAACGCGTCGGTGACCAGGGAGGAGGCATGGAGATGATCTTCGGGGGCGGGGGCGGAGGCGGAGGGGAGTGCTCGTCATCGCCCGCGACGGCGGTGGCGGTCGCGGCCACGTTGGCGGCCGAGGCGGAGGAGCGGATTTGAGCTCATCAACTCATGGTGCGGCTGACGCTGGAACATATGGCGAGGGAGGCCGCGCTGGCCGGCTGCCTCACCACATTCCTCGACCTCTCCCACCGCTCCTTCACCGACGTAAGTCCCTCCCTCTCGTCCGCCTCGGCTGCTTCAGGTTAACGGTGGCTCGCCGGCTTCGCTCATCTCTCTCTGTCGTTGCCATGTGCGTGCGTGCAGGTGTCGTGCTTGGGGAGCTTCAAGAACCTGGAGCGCCTCGACCTCGGCCACAACTGCCTCGTCACGCTCGAGGTACTGCAACACATCACATCCTCCTCACGCCCAATCTCAAATGCCACGCACTAGGTCCAAACATGTGTTGCTGCCCTTGATGTGGATTGCGGGACAGAAACACATAGATATATTCTTCCCGGCATTTCACCTCTTTTGATTGGATATACGCAAGTACCCATGTCTGTCGCTGTGGACTTGTTCTAGTAGTTATTGCAAGAAACTCATGCGTGCTGCCACTATCACCGTCTGAAATTGTTTTCACGAGCAACAGTCGTAGATAACAGGGAAGCAACTGTCGGTGTACAATGATGCTACAGTGAGTTACTTAGATGATGCGCTCAAATTGGGATTTACCTGTTCCATTTGTTCCGTGGGACTGTCAACTCTAGCTGTTATCCTCATTTGAGCCTCTGAGCATCTTCTTATTGTCACTTATGTCCATACTTTTTTACATGTTGAAGGGCTTGTCCGCATGCACCAATCTAAAATGGCTCTCAGTCATCGAAAACAAGCTTGTGAGCTTGAAAGGTGCCGAATTCCTCTCAAAGCTACAGGTGACACGCTTTCTTGGCCTGACATTTCCATCTGACTGAACCCATCCAGGATTAACTTCTATCTCAATACTTTTTAGTGGAGAATTTTAGCTCAATACATTTCCATCTGACTGAACCCATCCAGGCATGAACCATAATGCTCAGGAATTACGGCGATCTTTCCTATCATTTGCTAGTGTGATGTTTCAAGATGGCACATTTTAAAACACAAACTATTGTAAATAAGCGTTCTGGATCTTGAGGATTAATTATTCATGATATGTGAATAGTGTCGTTGATCATCACTGTTGCTAAATGCTAATGCTTGATATAATATAAATATGAGCACTTAACCACTATACAGTTGTTTGCATATTTTGTTTTGTATTTTTATAAATTATGATAGTTTGCGCAAGATGGTACACATGTTCATTTTTGTTGACTTGAATCTGTTATGCCCTTGATTTTTTTACTTAGCTTGACCCAGAACAACAGCATCCTTGATGCTTACTGACCCCCACCTCATTCTTGCTCTCACAGACCTGAAGGAGCCCGTATGCAAGGCACCTTCTCTCTGGTGGTGAGAGCGTCCAAGGGTCGTTGGTGCGGCTAATGTCCATGTCTATGGCCGCGCCTGCCACCGCCCTCTCTCCAAGGGTGCAGCCAGGAAGACGCTCAATGACCAGATCGTAGTCCTCTCCAAGCGGAGGGGACAACTCAAGTGATAGTAAGTTTCTAGTATTCTCTGTCGTGTTGACGTGGCTTGTTTACCTCGTCCTTGTTATACTTGATTGCATTATATAATTCCTGCTCGACGGATCTAATATAGATGATTCGTTCAAAGTAGTACAGTATATGATTCGTGTTTTGTTATAGTTTGTTTGTTTGTCTCAGTCCTCTGTTTCATGGCCACTATGTTCCCTTTTCTAATTGTGTTGCACATTCTTTTTGGTACTGGAAATGTGACAGTACTCTGGCTATTTCAATTCATGTCTCAATCCAGCAAGCATTGCTTTGTCGTTTGACACTAGTAATTAAGATAGAGCGTTGTATGCTCTCTGATTATTTGTCTAGTGATTGCTTGAAGCGTCTATCTTCCCAGCTTTCAGAAAGGAGAAACTTGTGACATTTCATATAAGATCTGAATGAAATGTTTAGGACTTGTGGTAGTAATATCTAATATTGTACATTGTACTAAAGAAACAACATATGTGCTCCTGAAACATACTGCATTCTTCTCTGCTCCATGTTCCCATTTAAGCTATGTGCCCGATTTAAATTTCAACAATGGTTTGTTTTGCACGCCTACCTCTTTAGTAAACCTGGTGCCATGCTTATTTCATGTAGCTAATAGTAAATTGCAAAAACAAAATGTAATTACCAAGGATGATTTGTTCTGCTTGCCTGCTACAAAGTTTTCAAATAACTACTACTTAGTTGGTCTACTGCTATAGTACACAAAATTTTCTAACTTGGGCAGCACATTCTATAGCAGTTATTGGCCGTTGATTTCTTACCCAACCCAACTAATCCAATGACCCTAGTTTCTGGGATTCGCTTGGTGCGACCGCGCGCCAAAACGACGTGGAGATGGTCTTTCTGGAGTTATTGTGAACCCACTATACACCTGCACACTCACGGTCTGGTGTTGATGAGAGAAAACCTTCTATACAAGATCTTTTGTGGCTGTTTTCTGAAGCACCCCTCGTTTAAAGACATATGGGAACGAAACCTATAGAATTGCATCGTGTAACTTCAATTGTAGTCTGATCACAAGACATCACGTGCATGGCACGTACCATCTACTAGTAGTAGCATGTACTGGATTATTATTTAGTCAACATTCTATTCCGAAGATGTACAAAAGAATGTGCTGTCCAGCCCATGTAGCAATCACTAATAGTCTGCATTGAGCAAACAGTGCACCATGCTCTAGCTAGCCACGCGTGGCAGCTGCCGCATAAGACGCGGGTGTGCGTCGTGTGCTGTATAGATTTTCCCACCTTTCTTCCAAAATGTTAGGTGTTGTATTAGTATTATGATGTTAGCTTCTTAAATTCCTGCTGCTAGGACATCTATTCTTGAATAGTTTGCTTATAAACTTTCCTAGTCATTCATAACCAACTGCAATATATTGATGGACATAGTACTCTGCTGTCTGCTCATGTTTACATCTTTCTTTAAATGTCAGGCTCACATGGAAAGTGCTATGGAACAAGAGGTGCCAGAAGGTGGAGAACATTCCTTCACTCCGCACATTCCTTCACTGGTTGTGTTTTTTTTGGTTGGTGCCATCTTTTGTTACTAGTTACTAGTGCACAATATGGACATGTGAAATCTTATGAACATGGGGTAATGATACTAAGCTACTAGTTGTGTTATTTTGGTTGGTTCATCTTATGAACCTGTGGTGTAATGATACTGTTGGGCCTAAATTATTGAAATCCTAGAGAATTCTATTATTATTGTCATTATATTCTCCTGTGTTGGTTGACTGCAAAATTGTGCAATGAATTTTTCTTTTTGAGACACTATTGGTTGTTGTTGGTCACCCTTCAGTAAGGGCTGGAACAAAAATACTAAATTGTGTGAGTGGGCTGGACCGTTTCAAGGCCCAATGTAATTTTTTTGATAGAAAAAAATATTCAATATGTATTTGTTTGATAGAAATGGGCTGGCCCAGTTAATGATGGATCGAATAAATGGTCTGCATGCCTCGGCCCAAGGACGAATATTATTAACAGGCTGATATGTTGGGCTTGGCCCATGCATATGGCCCAAAAGTAATTTGAGAAGTGGGCTGGATTATTGGGCTCAGCCCATTAAAACAATTGATTTGGACCATTCCTACATGGCATCCACGTCATCATTTTTGCCATGTCATTAAATGTGCCACGTGGACGATGCCATGTGGCTCGGCCACATCAGATCCTACGTGGTCTAGGCTTATTAGTAATGACCATAATTTTGGTCTTAGATTTCATGACCTTAATTTTGGTCAAGGGTGGCCATGACGAAAATTTCAGAAAAGGTCACGTTTGTTTGTTCTTGACGGCCAACTGTTGACCTTCATAACTTGGTCAAAAAAGGTCAATAAATGATAACAATGACGAATCAACGACCAAAATGGGGAGTCATGATTGACCGTATTTATTGTAGTGGATCTAAGTGAAGCACATAGAGCAAAATTATGACGCTCAAAAGATATAAGTGAAGCACATAGAGCAAAAACTACTTAGCTCAAAAGATATAAGTGAAGCACATAGAGTAAAAACTACTTAGCTCAAAAGATATAAGTGAAGCACATAGAGCAAAACTACTTAGCTCAAAAGATATAAGTGAAGCACATAGAGTATTCTATCAAATTTTAATTCATGTATGGCTCTCTCAAAAGGTGTGTATAGCAAGGATGATTGTGGCACACTAAGACACAAAGACACAAATAATACAAGACGCTCCAAGCAAAACACATATCATGTTGGTGAATAAAAATATAGCTCCAAGTAAATTACTGATGGAAGTGGACGAAAGAGGGGATGCCTTCCGGGGCATCCCCAAGATTTGATTTCTTGGTGTCCTTGGATTATCTTGGGGGTGCCAAGGGCATCCCCAAGCTTAGGCTCTTGCCACTCCTTGTTCCATAATCCATCAAAAGAATTTACCCAAAACTTGAAAACTTCACAACACAAAACTCTAAACAGAAAACTCGTGAGCTCCGTTAGCGAAAGAAAACAAAAGACCACTTCAAGGTACTATAATGAACTCATTATTTTTTATTGGTGTTAAACCTACTGTATTCCAACTTCTCTATGGATTATAAACTATTTTACTAACCATAGATTCATCAAAATAAGCAAACAACACACGAAAAACAGAATCTGTCAAAAACAGAACAGTCTGTAGTAATATGTAGCTAGCGCAAGATCTGAAACCCAAAAATTCTAAAATAAACTGCTGGACGTGAGGAATTTATCTATTAAAAATCTGCAAAAATAATTAACTAAATATCACTCTTCAAATAAAAATGACAGCAGTTCTCGTGAGCGCTAAAGTTTCTATTTTTTACAGCAAGTTCAACAAGACTTTCCCCAAGTCTTCCCAACGGTTCTACTTGGCACAAACACTAATTAAACACAAAAAACACAACCAAAACAGAGGTTAAATAATTTATTTATTAAATAACAGTAAGGAAAAATATTGGGATGTCTCCCAACAAGCGCTTTTCTTTAAAGCCTTATAGCTAGGCATTGATAATTTTAATGATGCTCACATGAAAGACAAGAATTGAAGCACAAAAGGAGCATCATAAAGCATGTGGCAAACACATGTAAGTCTAACATACTTCCTACGCATAGGCATCTTATAGGCAAACAAATTAGCAGGGCAAGCAAAAACTAGCATATGCAAGGAAAAGGAAAGAAACAATAGCAATCTCAACATAACGAGAGGTAATTTAGTAACATGAAAATTTCTACCACCATATTTTCCTCTATCCTAGTAGTTACATGTAGGATCATAAGCAAATTCAACAATATAGCTATCACATAAAATATTCTCAACATGATCCACATGCATGCAAAGTTGGCATGTTTCCGAAACAGTGGGATTAACATTAACTAATGTCATGACCTTCCCAAACGCACTTTTATCAAAAACTTCATAAGATTGAACATTCTCTAAATACGTGGGATCTAAAGTTGACATTCTTCCAAACCCACTTTCAATATTATTTCAAACATTATAATCAATCTCATATTCATCATGGGGTTTAAATAAATTTTCAAGATCAAAAGAAGAATCACCCCAATCATGATCATTGCAACAAGTAGAGGACATAACAAAACTAGCATCCCCAATCTTAGGGTTTTGCATATTATTAGCACAATTGACATTAATAGAATTTAGAATAACATCATTGCAATCATGCTTTTTATTCAAAGATCTATCGTGAATCACTTCATAACATACTTCATTGCAATTTTTAGATTCGCGAATTTCAAGAAAAAGTTCATAAAGATAATCTAGTGCAAAAACTCACTAGCAATTGGTTCAACATAACTGGATCTCTTAAAAAGATTAGCAAGCGGATGAGGATCCATAAATCTTAGGTTCTCTATTTAGTAATAAATAAATGACTATTCCAACCATACG